TCTCTCACACAGATTAAAAAGGCCACTGTTTGCGTGCTTTAAACGCACCAACACATTTCCTACCGGCTGCCGATGCCGAGGACCATAGTGGGTCGCCGTGATTTTGCCAAGTAAGACATGTTCCTGGATCAACATCTTTTGTTGATCCTGGATCAACATACCTGTCCAAAAATATAGACTAACCCCAATCCCTACCCCTTAACCTAACCCTAGCCATAATTTATTCCTAAACACAGTGTGAAATGATAGCTGATTAACAAGGGTGTAGAAGCACCTAACCCTGATTGTAAGCCTAAAACAGATCTTTCCTGAAAAGTTATCCCTCAATTCTGATTGGTTGATAGGAATGTTGTATCCAAGTACATGTACTTGGTGAAATCACGGTCACCGTCCGTAGTGCTGCAGTTGCTCACCGCCACCACGAGAATCACGTCAAAAACGAGACGCAATCAAATACACATTTTAGACAACATTCATATGGACGACATTGAACGAAGTCACCACCACCCCATTTTTGCGATTAAACACATTAACACACTTTTCCAGTCTTCATGTAATTGGGATTTTATAGTTAATGGCAGGAGTGAAACAGGTGGTGCACCAGGTGCAACGAGAGGAAGTGAGGAAGCGCTCCACTTCCCGTCTAATACACCATGCACGAGTCAGTGCAGCGGCTCTTTCCTAACTTACGGTTTAAATAACCCAAAATCTTAGGATCTCTGTTTCCTTTGGTAAATTCTGAGATGTATCATGTGGCTTCTACATTAAAGCAAGCAAAAGACAGCAGGACCTTATACAGCCATCTAAAAATGAGCCCCAAACCCATTCACAAGTCCAGACAGTAGACATTCCCTTCTGTGTCTGAAATGAATAAGCAATTATAGCATTCACCTTTGAAATGACAAAAGCTGGTCGCATGCATCCATAGCAGAGTGAAACAGTGCCATTTTGTAAAACTGAATGGCCAAATGTCACCTTTACTAATTCAAAAATTTGTAAAACTTTCACAAGCACCTCCCAGACCGTGCTATCATTCATGTGAACTCTCTGTTGGACAATATTATCAATGAGAGGAACGGTCACAGAGAGTCAATGTGAGCTCAGCAGGTAAAATGGCTATTGAGAACAATACTAAAGTCTGTGAATGTTCCGGCGTGACTGAGGTGTAAATTCAGACAGCAACCTCAAAAACATCGGGATGAAGGATCAATAAATATAAAACATGGACTAGGTTAGTGTCTTCACTATCTTTGTGCTGCACTAACAACATATACAACCATATCCACTTTTTGTCTTTTATGATGAATGTGTGCATGTGTGTACACGGACACTTTGAAGAGTGTTAACTAGTGAGTGAGCTTTTGAACTCTGTTGCAACACGAATAGAAATTCCACTACCATTTCTTGAGAAATGATGACAGAATTTTCATTTTTGGGTGAACTATCCCTTTAACGTACATACGCTATGATCACAATCTCTCAACTCTCAATCATGCCACAGAATGACTCCAACACTAATGTATAAAACGAATAGAAATTCCACTACCATTTCTTGAGAAGACTTCATTGTGCTGCAGGTTTTGCTGCTTTTTAGAGCTGTTGGTGAGGCTCACTCTCAGCCCTGACCTTGAGCATTTACACAGACACAAAAGTGACCGGGCGAAAGCATTCCTCGGAGCAGGTAAATAAAACCAACTAATCCTCCAGAGGGGCCTTGTGTCTGCAGAGAGAGCAACTGTTTCAACAAACGCTTGCTGGCATTTGCAAACAAAAATGGACTGGCAACTTTTGTGAAGTGTGAATGAACTAAAGCTTGCCTATCGTTAAATTCCAATCATTCATCTCGATTGCATAAATATTTACCCAAGTGACAATCACTTTTCTAAAACGACAATTTACACGAATCTTGCATTTCAAATGACGACACTTGGGCTACAGGAGAGACTACAAGCTTGTTTGGTGTGGACCACAGTTCTTATTGAGGCATAATAATAAACAATTCTAGAGCATTTATTAATCTTAATGTTAATCTCAACATTTAAAACATTAATATCAAAAGTTGTATCTGTTAACATTATTCAATGCACTGTGATCTAACATGAACATTTTAAGTAATACTAACAAAGGTTGACAAATGCTGTAAAAATACATTGCTCATTGTTAGCCCATGCAATAACCATATTAACCAATAGTAACTAATGTTAACAAATGAGAAGTTATTGTAAAGTGGTACAGATTGCTTTTTAAAAACCTGTAAGATGTGGGGATATTTTTGCCTACTCAAACCGCAAGCAGCTTACAACTGACAAACATCAGTCTCTCAGAAAGCAGATGCAAGGTGAGTGTCAAAAGTCATTCATTTATCAGTAAATAACAAGACAAGCAACACAGAAGATAAAATCCAGAAAAAGGATTTATTTCAAGTAATTATTCATAACAAGTAGAGTCAAGGCATATTATCGGTTTTCATTTGACAAGCTCCATGAAAGGCTACTAAACACACACCATTTATATTCTTCCTAATTCAACATGTAGGACAGTCTGGTGTAAACATTTCAGACACATCAAAACAGCATAAATCACATACAATAATGATTTCCAAGTAACGTTTTCTTTTCATCCAACACCACAACGTGTGTATAAGCTGGCAAGAGTGTACAGATCATTCTTGGGCTTTGTGCAAGTTTTTGAACTTTGGAACTCAGTAGGGTGTGGTCCCAGAGACGCAAAACTTCCACGGACGTGGGCTAATACAGAAAGGAAATCCAGAAGCAAGGTCCCCCTGCTTTAATACAGAAGGATTATGTTCACACAAACACCACATTGAGATCAACAACTGCTTTCCCATCCAGCCTCAAAGAGCAAAGAAAGAGTGAGTGAAAGAGAGATAGAGAGAACGAAAATAAATGAAAAGACAAAGAAAGAGCAAGAGAAAAACACGAGAAGGGGTATCTGGCACCACTTAAACTGAAGAGCACCTGTTGAAAAATGAAGACAAGTTAGCATCATCTGGACGCAGCTCTACTGTAGACAGACACAACATTATTTGAAACTGAAACCAAAAGGAGGGTTTTTCATATCAGTTTCATATTTCAGTTAACTTCGGTTTTGCATATGCAGTGGTTTTCAAAAGCATTGTCCCTTTCATGGAGTGTGGAGCGTCACTGGAACCATTTTAGGAATTAATTCAATAAAAACATTTTCATTATAATAACGATCAAAGTCGTACCACATAATAAAATACATTTGAATGTTTCTTTCTCACTACCACCAAAGCATAAAGCTAAACATCAGAATCAATACTGAACCGGTTTCTAAAAAGCTCAACACAGTACACTATAGGCTATTGGTTCTCTATCCAGTTTTTGAAGGACCCCAGTACTGCACGTTTTAGGGGTCTCCTTGATTCGACACATCTAGTTCAGGGCTTGGAGACTGTGTGCAAATGTGCAGTTCCGGGCTACTCCAGGACCAGAATTCAGGAGAACTGCAGCTGGATGCTGGTCGGTCGATCATTACACTAAGCTAATACACAGGGCACAAATCTAACATAAACGGCACAAAAACTAAGCAGCTAAGGTTTGCTTAGAAACCATAAACCTCATAGTCTAGCCAAGTTCAAATGAATTCTGCACCAGATCAACGGAGCGCTGAGCAAGACTAAATTCAAAATCATTCTGTAGTATATTTTTAATATATGTAATATATTTTATGGCACCATCCTGTCCTAGTTATCAATGATACCAGCAATGGTTGTTTGCTAGTGTGAATATGTATGACTATTCTCAAAACACAATCTCATCAGGTCACAGTTGTTTTAAAGGGATAGTTCACCCAAAAATGAAAATTCTGTCATCTTTTAGTCACCCACACTTAAGTTCTTTTGGAGTTCCTTTGTAGAGCTACTGTACATTTCTAAATCGTCCTTTTGAAAACCAATGCCATCTTAGAATGAAAAAGGGTACAGAGCGTTTGAATTTTGAAAAACCCTCCTTTCTGTGCTCCTGGAAGCTCTGTCCTGGAAAAGAGAAAAAATGGTTTAATTACAAGTTACAAATAATCAATACTGCTGCCAACAGGAAGCAGTGTATTACGTTTGACGCTTAAAATGGTGAGTAAAAAGAGGCAAAATGATTATACAGAACAAGCACCAGAATTGACAAGTGTCAACATTTTTTCCCGTATTTAAGGGGGAAAAAATGCTACATCTCTGGACTTAGAGTTGACTACCATCATAAGAAATAAAGGTAATCTAATAGCTCTAATTTTGAAGCAATAGGCAATACTGGTATTTTTATAAATTGGCCAGTTGCTCAACTGCAGCAGGATCCATGGTAAAAAATAAAACACTGGGAGTGTTACCAGCCACTTGCAATTGACAGAAATAAAGAAACAAAACAAGATCCAACAAAACGTACCAACAAAAAAGTAAACCTTTAGCCTACTCTTGATTCCATAACATAATACCGCTTCCATTATTTTGGACTAACAGCTTGTCAAAAATATCTGCCAAAAAGAGACCAATTATTCAATCTCTGAAAACTTGTCACATGTGTGATTACAGTTCGGAAATGGACCGTTTCCCCAAAGTTAATCTACACTTACAATGAAGTTACTAAAATATTCAATATGAATCCGTTTTTCTCTCTTATAAGACTGTTTATAAATATTATGTCTTAAAAGATTTATACTTGGAAATATTTTTTAAAAAGTCTCTCAGACTAGATGAAACGTTTTAAATCCATAGGATTAACTCTATTTACATAAATACATTAAAACCAATAAAACTGAAAAAAAAAACAAAAAAAAACTGTGTCCTATACTAATTTTAAACAGTACATGTCTAGAAAACTCAAAGTTAACAAAACAAAAAAGCTTATAGTTTTAAGTGGATCCATATGTATGTTATAACATTATTCATAATCTTACCCATTATATGCATTTCTGTGATTCCTAGAAACTTGTGGTGCAAATTAATACAAACACATAGACAAATAAGGTACTGTGATTAACCATTCCCAACTACTATATTATAATAGAAGATGGTATATCAGGAAATTACAAGTGCATCTTAAAATAAGAGGTGCTGAAGGGTAGCAACTTTACAAATGAACTTCATAGACATAATGGCCCCAAACTCGTGTACACAGTGAGCATTAAAATCATAACACACAAAAAACCTCAGATGTTTCACTTCACCTGATTTGAGAGAAAGTGTTGCACCTTAATTGGAAACAAAATCTTTTCCCCTAAAATCACTTTTTACGGTTAAACAGAGAAACATTCAGGAGGTTGGAGCAAATGAGTAAGTTGTGTTCAGAATAATAAAAACACATGCAAGAGGGAATCTCCAAACACAGAACAACATCAGACAACAGTTAATGGTGATCAAAACAGTTGGCTTCACATACCCGTATTTACATGGTATATATGTGACCATCTTTTATTTTTCATCTTTAAAATATCCTCAAATAATAAGCTCTAAGTTCTCCAATAACAAAACTGTTGTAAAATGACCAAGGGATACGTTTTATATTTATATATAAAAACAAACTGAGAAAAGAAATTCACCTGTCACGTACTACTTAGGTATTTTTAAACACGGAAAGATTTCAAGATGAGAAAACAACAAACTTGACAGCTTCATACACATTTTTTTTTTCATTATATACAAGAAAGTGACCACTGATAACAGTTGCTCCCAAATCCTTTGAAATTGCAGACCTGGATGTGTTAATACCTACAGACAAATTTTATTTTTATTGAAATGGCCCAAACAATTTTTGATTAGATTTTGTTATACTATCTAGAACGGAGATATTTTAGATACTACAACAAGGCTTTGTTTTTGCTACACACGTAGCATATAAAACTTCATTTGTAAAGTGGTTGGATTAACATTACAGTCACAAATATGACCACTAATGCACTAGATCTAAGATCATTTCTGGGGCCATAGCGTGACAGTTTAGGTTAAGCTGTACAATTAGACATAACCAAGCACTATGCTTGCACAGTACTGATGGACTATTATTATTATTAATATAAATAATAATGATGATATAACAACAATTGGAGGTGTGACGCACTCATGATTAAATCCATGAAATCATTTTAAAGGGAGTGTAATACATTGACTGGAGACTGAAAATGTATGGGATTTGTGTAAAAAAAAAAAAAAAAAAGCTTGGGTAACAACTTATAAAATAAATGGGAAAATAAAGTGGAAAATAGACATAACGTATTTTCGAAGGGCACTTGACAGCTGATTTGGACCCTGATTTTATCCCTAACTGCTCTCAGTTCATAGTAACCTGCATTCCCATCTGACCGACTTCAAAACAATGAACTGAGTTATAAGCATAGAATTACAAATAGTCCAAAATACCTTCTTCACAAACAAATAACCAAGCTGTTGTTGTAAGCAGGATAGTTCTGACCTCTTCACAATTCACAAACGCATCTAGTGCTCTAGACAAGCAAACAGAGCTTCATCAATAAAATCATCACACAGGCCATGATTCAGCAATCCTCTTCCACACACAATACTGGTTGAACTCGGAGGAAAGAAAACTAAACACGTTAAAAAGTAGTATTACTAAAGGGCGAGACTTTCTGATTGCCTTTAATATTTGCTTAGAAGCCATTTCTAACAACAATTAAAATAATCTAAATACGCAATTCCAGCACCAAAACTTAAAATCAAAGTATAAAAGCCATTTATTGTCAAATCGTTTTTCAGCTGTCTTTAGGGCACAAAGACACACGTCATGAACCACCACTCCAGCTCTGCAGAACAAAACCCAACTGCAATACAATTACAATGGTGAAAGGGACAATGAATAAACTTAAGATCATGAATAGTCATAGAAAAAAAGAGACCCCTGCAATATCACAGTGGCTTCCAAAAAATACATAACTAGAAAAAATGCTCAACCCAAACCCATACCAGCACTTCAACATCTCTATCAAGCAGTGCTTCACACTCTGATGTCCACATGCCCTTAGCTATACCCCAACATACAGAGCTCCATACCGAAGGCATCTGCTGCCCTCTACAGGGGACAAAAACAACTGCAGCATACACATTACTATTCAATCAGGCCAAACCACCTGCTTAACACTTTGTTCAAGTCAATGACTGTGGAAATTCCACAAAAAAAATAAATAAAATAAAATCAAGATTTCCTATTTTACCAAAAACAGCCATTCAAAAGATTTTTTCTAATTACATCGAGAGCTAGAGGATGGGAGCAACTATTATCAACTGGCATTCAAATGTCTTGTTTCATACCTCTGTCTCTCTTTTCACCTGCTGGTTTAGACCATTACTGACTACTCCATATAAACGAAAGTACAGAAACAAGAGCGAGACTTCATGCCAAAGTCATTCACGACATGAGTTCAATGCTGTGCCATTTCCAGCATGTTTTTGATTCCTTCATGCATGTGGCTTGAGTTTGTCGACAGCACTCTCCACACAGATTCCAAAGCTTTAGCCTCCTGATTGTGCGTCTGTCTTTCAGAAAAAGACGTTCTCTTCTTGCTCACTTCTCATCGTCTGGTCTGTTGAACTGACTTGTTCCTCAGCCATCAATAACGGAAACATCGATGTGAGACAAATCTATCATGTGCCTATGTAATCAAGGGAACATGTGATGGAAATGAGACACACACACTTAAAAGCAAGCTAATCTGAGGCATCTCCATCAAAACATGACGATTAAGTAGAGTCACAGTAGAGCTCTTGTTCTTTGTTTTGACAAGTAATACTTGCTGATGCTGCATTTCGGCACATTTCATTTGCCCTTCGGTTACACAAACCATTAGACATAACAACTCTGATCTGCTTCAGCCAATAACACCAACACCTTAATAGTCAGGCCTACTCACAACATATTTGAAGAGACTTCATATATTTGATATTTGATACCTGTCCTACAACACTTACAATTTTTGGGGGTTATTAACGTAAAACAGACATGAAGTCTGTTTAGAAGGTCTATAGGAATCCACTGTTTCTATTCAAAATCTAATTTGCAACAGACATTTACAGTGAATATTTGGCCTTGTTGTGAATAGGCCTCATTCTAAAAAAAATCTAATTATCCACCAAAGGTCAACTACATTTTGTGCATGCATGTATTGTGCATAAACAAACAGCACAATCCAGTTTAAGATGAATTCAAAAGCTTACCTGTGAAAGCTGTGCTGAAAACTCACTGCATGCTGTGGGTTCACAAACTTGGCAATGGCCTTCCGCTGCTCCGGCAACATTGTAAACATCTATAAAAGAATCACCAAATTATCAATTAGCCGAAAGTTTTTTATCTAAATGCTCATCTTCATGTTTCAGTAAGAGATGGCCTCTGTTTCTTTACCCTGTAACAGTGGGTGTTACACCAAGATCTGGGAGAAAACCACAACCCAGAATGCACACAGCTAGATGGCGCTATTGTAATATTTTGAGAAGAGCACTCTACCCAGAAAACAGTTTATTCTTGGGGTCATAGTCTTCTCAGGAAACAAATCTTCTCCCAGGTCAAAGTGTTTTGCAAACTCCATTTGATTTTTAATGAAGTTTACGTGAGGGATAATTTACAGCTAGGAGTGCATTAAATTATTTTATTGCACAACATGGAGGCAAAGAACAAGCTTATGTATTTTCACCACGTACACAATGGTCATTTGCCAGCATGGACAAGGTAATGCTGTCAATCGACTATGTTTACATGGACATTAGTAATCTAATTATTTACCTTATTCTAAATAAGCCAATATTATGATTATGGTGTTTACATGAGTTGCTTTTAGAATATTCCTTTCATGTTCCCGATTTACATGTTATAGTACATAGTTCGATTAATGGCACACGTCATTACGTCCCCATGCAACGCTATCCGACGTCCACTCCAGAATTTCACTTATAAACATATAGTTCGTCTTCGTGATGATGCCATGTACAGTTTTGGGTGTTTCATTTTTAATTTTATGAAAGCTTCAAGTGCAGTTAATTATTTGTACGTGCATACAAACGATGGCGGTTTTGAAGCTCTTTAATTTGCCGTCAAACGGTTCAGCACTGCCGTGTGTGTATCCTGTCGCAAAATGTGGCGAAAAGTCCTACACGACGGTAATAATGTGATTAAGGTGTTTACATGTCTATACTGCAC